TGAGAAACACTGATCGACTGCCCCCTGTTCCTCTCCCTACGGGCATGTGCCCTGACTGGGAATTGAACTGGCAATTCAATGGGATGGCGCCCAATCAATTGAGCCACAACGTCCAAATAAATTAAAGATAAATATTTTAATAAGGCAAAGGCATTGAAACTTTTAGATACTATTAAAAATCCAAAAATCTTCTTGCCCAGCCAGTGTGGCTCAGTGGATTGAGCGTCGTCCCATGGACTGAGAGGTCCTGGTTCAATTCCAGGTCAGAGCACATGCCTGGGTTTCAGGTTCGATCCTCAGTAGGGGGAGTGCAGAAGGCAGCCGATAGATGTTTCTATCTCTCTCCCTTCCACTCTCTCTAAAAACTCAATAAAAACATTTAAAAAATAAAATAAAAATCCAAAAATCTTCTCAATTGAAAAAATTAAATAGAAATTTTCAAATAGAAATAGAACCAGATAATGGGATAACATCATGAAACTTATTTTGACTGATTAAATTTAAATAAGTCTGTAATTTTTAATATAGTGCTTTAAAAAACAACCAAAGCCAACATTTGCATTTGCAAAGTATGTAAGAACTAAGTTAACTTTAAGGAAATGACAAAGACTGTCTTTCTTGACCAAATTTTAGTCCTGCTCCTCTGAGTCCTCTTTTCAACAAGGCCTTGAACCTCTCCATCTTGTCTTTGGCCTGCGTAACTCACTTTTAGCAAAGAATCCTGCTAAGTCATCCTCCTAACCTTGATATCTGATCAAGTTCCTCATACCCCATTTTTTTTTTTTTTTTTTTTTTTTATCCTCACCCGAGGACATTTTTCCATTTTTTGTTCAGATACAGTGGGAGGGAGAGAGAGGAAGAGAGAGAGAGAAACATCGACGTGAAGGGACACATCGAGTGGCTGCCACCCACACAACCAACAAGGGCCGGGGACAAACTGCAACCGAGGCACGTGCCCTTAGCGGGAACCGAACCCGGGTCTCTCTGGACCGCAGGCCGGCGCTCCAACCGCTGAGCCAAACCGGCCAGGGCCTCGTACCCCATCTTTGATGAATAACACCTTGGCCTACCTTTAGAAGAAATACCCCTATCCTTGAAGTCCTCTTAGTAATTTTCCCTCTCTTCACCCCCCACCCTGCTCCTTGGGTATAAAGACCCAATTGCCCCTGTTGTATTTAAAGTTAGGACCAATCTCTCTTCCCTATTATAACTCACTACCACAAAGTCTTTTTTCGTATAATTTGCTAAAGAGGAAATTATTGTTCTCTACATTTGTTTTTTTTTTGCGGGGGGGAGGGGGCGGGAATATCCCATGATAATAAGACATACTTGTTTCCAATAAAGAAGAAATGAAATGGGTTGGAGCAGAAGAAAAGGTTCATGAATCTCATCTTAGCTAGGGCAGACTTGGAGCCAGTGGACTTTGTGTGGCATGTGGGCGGGCAGTTCATGTAAAATGAGCAGCTGACCCTGGCCGGTTTGGCTCAGCGGTTAGAGCATTGGCCTGAACCAAAGAGTCATGGGTTCAATTCCAGTCAAGGGCACGTACCTCAGTTGCCGTTCGGTCCTGGCCCTGGTCAGGATCATGCGGGAGGCAACTGATTGATGTGTCTCTCTCACACTGATGTTTTTCTGTCTTTCTTTCTCTCTCTCTTTCCCTCCCACTCTATCTGAAGATAAATGGAAAAAAATTAACTGGAGGTAGGGGCATGGAGACATTAGGAACCTGAAGAATAGAAGGAGACATTAAGCCTGGACAATCTGGTCTACTGATTTCTGGGATATGTTGAGGTCCTTAACATGGTGAATCAGACACTCTACTTCATTCACTTTGTAGGTCTCCAATTCTAACTCCTTGGCTAATCTTAAGATATGATTCTGGGTTGGCTTAACATAGGAGCCTCCAAGGTCCACATATTTAACTATCTGGTTCCTAACAGTGTTAAGTGCTGCCTCCCACGGTCCCGGGCTTCCAGAACAACCACATTCAGGCCAGTATAATGCAGATGTTTGGCTGCTGCCATCCTTGTTTTGTTTCCTGCTTTATCTCTAACACCTGTAGACATCTTCAATAAATATTTGTTGCTGTACTGGGAGAGGCCAATTCTATCCCATTGAAAGGAGGTATAATTCAGACCTAAGGATCCTGTGATCTTTGACAAATACTTCCTGTATGTAGCTGTACCTCCCTCTGCTCGATGTGCCGCAAAGTCTTAAATAAAGTCTTCCTTACCATCTTAGCAAGTGTCAGAATAACTTTTTTTTAACACAAATCATTCAGGGAAGCAGTCACACTCTTAACCAATATCAACAGAAAAATAATTCACCATATAATCACAAATGAAAGCAAAAATTCAGCAGAATATTCCTAAGACTGACAATTTAAATATTAATGTAAGTTAGAGTTTATAGTAGTATAAAAAGATTCCCCAATTTTTATATGCAAAACAAGTTTTTTGAAAGGCTCTCCTTTCAAAAATAAAGAAAGGGCACTGAATAGTAGAATCAAGTTCATTGCCTACTCAGCCCAAAATTTATCAATCAGAACTTCTGGTAACAATGGAATGAAATGAATGGAAAAGTAGCTGGTGTGTAATTAGTAGCCAAATTATAAGTTACATAAAGCAATATATACAAATAGTACTTGACACCCAAAGTCCTCTATTCAGTTAACAAATATGTATTTAAGGTGTGGCACAGAAGATAAGGAAAGAATAATAAAGACTATCTATGATTTAAGAGAGATAACATGTATAAATAAATAGAATGCTATAATTATAACGCAAGAATGAAAGTGGTAAGTTCATTCAAGAAGGGTATACTCTCCCTTCCTCTCTCTCTAAAAATCAATAATCCCTGGTCTGTGTGGCTCAGTTGGTTGGGAATAGTCTTGTGCACCAAAAAGGTGCCAGTCCCATTCCCAGTCAGGGCACATGCCCAGGTTTCAGGCTCCATCCCTGGTGGGAGAGGTGCAGGAGGCAGCCAAACGATGTTTCTCTCACATCAATGTTTCTGTCTTTTTCCTTCTCCCTTCCCCTCCCTCTAAAAATCATTTTAAAAATCTTAAACCAAAAAAAAAGGTTACAAAAAAGGTGTTAAGAGAATTCAGAGGAAAGAGAGTTGATTTCTCATAGAAAGACAATAAAAGGTTTCATGAAAACACAGGAGCATGTGATTTAAGTCTTCAAAGATTACTATTCACTTACAAGGAGAAGGAAAGCAAAAGATATTCCAGCATTAAGAAGTAACATAAGAAAAAGCCCAGTGTAGGTAACTTTTATATAACCACAGGGAAGAAGAATAGTAGATGTTAACACTTAGGCCTGTTTGGTGGTGGACTGAACAGTGTTCCTCAAAATTTCATGATCACCTGGAACCTCAGAATGTGACCTTATTAGGAAATAGTAGAGTCTATGAAGATGTAATAAATTAAGGATCTTGAGGTAAAACCATCCTAGATTGAAGTTGGGTCCCAAATCTAATGACTGCTGACCTTGTAAGAAGAGGAAAGGGCCCAGCTGGTATGGCTCGGTGGATCGATCATTGTCCCATGGACCGAAAGGTCCTAGTTCAATTCCCGGTCAGGACACATGCCTGGGTTGTGGGCTCAATTCCCAGTAGGGAGCATGCAGGAGGCAGCTGATGAATGTTTCTATCTCTCTCTCTCTTCCCCTCTTTCTCAAAAAAATCAAGAAAAACATATTTAAAAAAGAAGAAGAGGAAAGGACACAGAAAGACACACAAACAGAGAAGGTGGCCACGTGAAGATGGAGGCAGAGACTGGAGTTATGCTGCCACAAGCCAAGCAAAGCCTGTAGTCACCAGAAGCTGGGAGAGGCAAGGAAGGATTCCCTAGGTCTTTTAGAAGGAACATGGCTCTCTGCTAACACCTTGATTTCAGCTTCCAGTACTATAAGAGAATAAATTTGTTGTTTCAGTTTATGAACTGTGATCATTTGTTACAGTAACCCCAGGAAACTAATGCAGGTTGGCTAAAGACAATTAGTAGAAGGCCACTGTGAAATCATTAAAAATTGGTCTCTGCCACTGGTTTCTGCTAATTAGAAGTTTTTAACCAAACTTGTAATTTCCTGAGTGACACAGGAGTTTCTGACACAAGCTCTTACATTTCTTGGAATTTTGAGGGTAATAGGAGTCTTTTGTTTTAAGGCATGAGATGACTCTTGGTGGGGCTCCTGGATGAGGAATGATTACCAGAAAGACCAAGCCATAATTAGAAACTTGTAACTTTCAGTACCACTCTCCAATCTCTGAAGAAGGAAAAGGAGCTGGAAATTTAGTTAATAATTCATCATGCCTAAGTGATGAAGCCTCCATAAAAATTCCTAAAGTATGGTGTTCAGAGAACTTCAAGACTGATGAACATATCCACATGCCAGCAGGATTGGCATATCCCAGCTCCACAGGGACAGAAGCTCCCATCCAGATCTTGCCCTAGGTATCTCTTCATCTGGCTATTCATTTGTATTCTTTAATATATTCTGTATTATATAATAAATCTGTAAACATAACTATTTCCCTGAGTTCTGTGAGCTATTCCAGCAAATTATCAAACCCCAAGGAGGGACTCATAGAAACCTCTAATTTACAGTGGATTGGTCAGAAGCATGGTGACAACCTGAACTTAAGATTGGGGAACAGAGGGAGAATCTTGTGGGACTAAGCCCTAAACCAGTGGGGTCTATGCTGACCCTAAGTAGATAGTGTCAGAATTGAAATGAATTGTAGGACACCCAGTTGGTGTCTGCAGAGCATTGGAGAATTGCTTGGTGTCAGAAAAAAAACCCACACATTTGGAGTATGAAGTATTAGTGAGTAGAAAAAAAAGAGAGTTTTCCTTTTCAGCCAAGCATTTAATTTTATTACATTTTAGGAGAAAAAACTACTGATAATACATTTCTTCTTTATAGGCATATTCTCATATTACCAGGCAATCCTATTAAAAAGTGAACAGAAAACAATGAAACGTCATTACTTACAATGTGTGACTCCAGCCAGAGTTTGGTAAAAAGTGGGAGTATCACTATCATCAGTGAGGGTGACATATACACCTCCAGACAACAGCCAACGAGAGAAGGTAAAAGCATCTTTGTTTAGAAGAAGCCAATTTCTAAACTTGTCATAGTTTACCTTTTCACCCTATAATTAAAACAAGAAAATATAGTTTAGTCAAAATTTAAGGTATCTTACTTGGAACATGCACAACTTGAAATCTGAAGTTAGTTGACATTTACCTACAAAGGAAGAATTAACTAAACACCATATGCTGTAATCTTGGAAATCAAGCTGTTTTAAAAAAATAATTGTACTTCAGAACTTTCATTTGCTCGAAATCTATATGCAAATTGCAACTTATTTCTTCAATTCATTAAAGCAGTGCACTGCTAATAAGAAGCCACACTTTATTTGCTAAGGTATATCCTGAAACCAGTAAACTGCATTTCTTTTAATATTTAATAAATCCAATTTTCACTTGCCTTATCCCTCTTCTTTAGCACCTCAATCTGTCAAAATTAGCATATTTTAATTAAATATGTATAAAATTTAAGTGCTCTTTTAAATTTCATTGGCAAATTAAAAACTATTCCAGAGTCCTAAACCAGAAAGCACCAATGAAAACATGTATTCACAAGTCAACTAGAATAAAAAAAAGAAACAAGATTTCTATTTCTTTGCATTCTTTCCTTGCCTTGCTAAATCTCTGGAGAAAAATTGTATCCAGGATGAGAAAGGACATCACATGGCTATGCAAGTCAATCTCTTTGGAAGACAATAGGACATAGGTTGAGTGAGGGCCAGATGTTGCTATGAGAAAAAGGGAACACAATCAGGAATGACATTCAGGAGCCTAGCAGGTCTAATGCTGCTAGAGATATTAAGGGATACAAATAACTTATAACCTAAAAGAGATATAGTGGAAATATAGTCTACATTGTTTAGTAATATCCTACCAAGTACAGCAACATGCTTAGTCTAGTAGTTTCTAAACATTTAACAGTGCAAGCCAAACACTCAAGATAGCAATGACAGTCTTGTTTTTCTGAATGGAAGAATAAAACATTCAGACTTCCTACATGTGAAGACATTGCTAAGTGTTTAGAAATTAGGGAATCATAACCATATTTTTCTTCTCTATACCATATTTAGTCTAGAAAGAGTATTAGCAATATAAATTCCATAAGCTAATGCTTACTTTTACACAGGTTAACATCTCTGACATTGGAATAAGTCATAAAATCATAGTATCCTTCAATTACAATGGGCAGCTCAGATGTTATAAGATGCACCTTGTGTACCCTAAGAAAGAGAAAAGCTGCCAACTATAATAGGCACTTCTACCATCTTTACATATAATTAATTATTACTGAGTATTTATAATACTCTGAGTACCATTTTAAACATGTTCATATTAATTTAATATTTAAAGCAACCTTCAATAGGAAATACAATTATCATCCCCATTTTGCACATGAGAAAACTGAGGCACCAAAAAGTTATGTAATCTGCCCAAGGTTATACCGTGGCACAGACGGGACTGAACCCAGGTAGTCCAGGCTCCAAAGTTTCCATGTCTAAGCTATATACCACACTGCCTGGACTTAGTGAAATACAAAGTAACCTCTGAAATCCACCTCCCCATTGGGATCAATCCACATAACTTAACTGGAGCACCAAAATCCCATCTGTCAAACCTAAGTTTTTATGTTTTTGAGCCATTTATCTGTTGTAAAAGGAAGCAAAAGGAAAGTCTCCGTTTATAAATCATCATAATAGTGGTCTAGAAAAAAAATTCCAACACTATAAAAGGCAATTAAAAATAAACGGAGCCCTGGCCAGTGTTGCTCAGTGGTTAGAGAGTCGACCTTTGTACCACAGGATCAAAGGATCAATTCCTGGTCAAGAGCACATACCTGGGTTGCAAGCTCCATCTCCAAATTGGTCGAGGTTTGTGATGGAGGCAACTAATCAATGTGTCTCTCTCACATTGATGTTTCTCTCTCTTTCTCCCTTTCTCCCTTCCACTCTCTCTAAAAATCAATGGAAAAATTACCCTCGGGTGAGGATTAACTATGACAATAATAAAACAGAACCTGAAACTGATACATCTTTAAAGAACAATATAGCCCTGGCCAGTTTGGCTCAGCGGCTAGAGCGTCGGCCTGCGGTCCAGAGAGACCCGGGTTTGGTTCCTGCTAAGGGCACATACCTTGGTTGCAGTTTGTCCCCGGCCCTGGTTGGGTCGTGTGGGTGGCAACCACTCAATGTATCTCTTTCACGTCGATGTTTCTCTCTCTCTCCCTCCCATTCTATCTGAACAAAAAATGGAAAAATGTCTTCGGGTGAGGATAATAAAAAAAGAACAATATAAAATATGAATTTTGACTTCAAAAATCAACTACCAAAAACTATTCAGTAAGAAAAAAACAACACAACTCCTATCTCCTATGTGGATTTGCTTTATAACATTATCTGTCAAGACTAATAAAGCCAAGACAAAAAAAGCAGAGACCCAATTCACCTCACTCAAATCTAGGTGCTAGGTCCATATCTATTAGCTAAAGTGCTTCTTTTTATAGTTTTGGGTTTTGTTATTTTTTAGGAGTGCAAGAACATACAAAACACTGTTGTGGCCCTGGCCAGTATGGCCCAGCAGTTAGAGCATCGGCCCACAGACCAGAGGGTCCTGGGTTTGGTTACCGCCAAAAGCATGTACCTCAGTTGCCCTTTCTGCCCGGCCCCAGTTGACATCGTGTGGGTGGCAATCAGTCGATATCTCTCTCTCACATCAATGTTTCCCTCTCTTTCTCTCTCTCTCTCTATCTCTCTCTCTCTCTCTTTCTCCCTTCTTCCCTCCCACTCTATCTCTAGATAAATGCAAAAAAAAAAATTGTTATGGAAGGGCCAAATAAGCCTATTATAAGTAAACTGATATTGAAACATGATAATTTGAAAAGCTAGGGTCTTGGATACAATCATCAGACACATTACTAAGAAATTACAGCAGCTAAATACAGCAAATAACTGAATCAGCTCAAATTAGTTCACTTACAGTGTTGGATTTTCATGGCCTATATGTATATAATAATTTGCATAACCTTACACATGAATATTCCAAACAACCTATCAGTCCTTTGATCTTCCCTCTTCAAAGCTCATCCTTCATAAAACCCTGACTGAGCTATTTTCTACTATAGTCTTATGATCTTTTTTTATACTAACCATTGCCCTTCCCATATATGCAATTTTAAGCACCTCCCCAACACAATTTCCTCTTATGTGCACACACCTTCCAGTTTCCCACTTCAGTGATTTGTTTTTGTTTTTGCTAATCCTCACCTGAGGATATTTTTCCATTGACTTTTTAGAGAGAGTGGAAGAGAGGGAGGGAAGGAGAGAGAAAGAAACACTGATGTGAGAGAGACACATCAATTGGTTGCCTCTCACACAGCCCCGACCAGGGCCACAGATCGAACCTACAACCCAGGTACGTGCCCTTGACCAGAATCGAACCTGCAACCCTTTGCTCCATGGGCCTACACTCTAATCACTGAGCCAAACTGGTCCAGGCCCAACTCCAGTCATTGTTTAACTCCACAGGACCTACACCAATGACTTACCCTCCATGTTGCCAAATCTAATGATGATTTCTCAGAGATCAGAGAGGTCAATTCACTTGACCTTTCAGTTTATTTAAATTAGTTAAACACTGCTTCCTCTTTTTTATCACTTGGCTTCTACGATATTATTCACTTTTGGTTCTCCTCACAGGCTATTGCTTAGGTTCCAATTTTAGATTCCTCTTCATCTTGTCAATCTCTAAACATTGGAGTACAGGACTCAGTCTTTCAATTAGTTTTCTATCTATAAGCCAACAAATCCTTTCCCCTGAACTCCAACTTATTATGACAAAAAGCATAGCTGACAACTCCACTTGAATGTCTAATATGATTCTCAAACTTAATTATGTCCTAAACCTTTAAAAAAATTTTTTTTTCTTTATAGATGTTAGAGAGAGAGAGGAAGGGAGAGGGAGAGCTAGAAACATTGATGAGAGAACATGTACTGGCCGCCTCCTGCACCCCCCTACTGGGGATCAGGCCCACAACCTGGGCATGTGCCCTGACTGGGAATGGAACCAGCAATCTCTTGGTGCGTGGGTCGACACTAAACCACTGAGCCACACCGGCCAGGCTGTCCTAAACCTTTTTTGATATTGAAGCCTCAAACCTCCCTCTCCAGTAGTCTTAGACATCTCAGTTAATGGTAACTCTTTTACTATATCAGGCCAAACAACTTAGTTAGTCTCTTCTCTTTCTGTCACAGCCCATAATAAATATAAGAAAAGATACTGTCAACTACACATTCGAAATAAATGCAGAGCCCTGGCCAGTGTTGTTCAGCAGTTAGAGCGTCAGCCTGAGTACCAGAGGGTAGCAGGTTCAATTCCCAGACAAGGGCATGTGCCTGGGTTGCAGGTTCGATCCCCAGCCCCAGTTGAGGTTGTGCAATAGGCAATCAATCAATGTGTCCCTCTCACATCAATTTCTCTGTTTCTCTCTCTCTCTTTCTCTCTCCCTCTCTCCCTTCCACTTTTTCAAAAAATCAATGGAAAAATATCCTCCGGTGAGAATTAACAAAAATTAATAAATAAAATAAAAACTTCGCATTACCTCACTGACACACCATGATATAAATGGCCATCACCTCTTACCTGGATCATTCAGATACCTCAATGGGACTCTGTTCAGACTGCCCTACACATAAAAGCCAAAATGATCACGTTTAAAAAAATAAAAATACAACTCATGTACTCCTCTGCTCAAAATCCTCTAATGCTTTCCCATCTCACTAAGGGTGAAAGTCAAAGAACTGACACTATCCTACAAGATCGTATATAATACTCCTGATCCATTCTATCCAACCCCCAATCTCTGTAACCTCATTTCCTACTACACCATTGGTCACTCCATTCCAGCTAAATCGGCCTCTTTGTTGCTGCTTAGACATGTCAAGCACACTTCTCTTTGTGGAAAATGCTTCTCCCAGATATCTGGTTTTACTCTCACTTCCTTTAAATTCTCTGTTCAAATGTCACTTTATCTGGCAAACCTTTCCTAACTATTCTATACAAAACACTAACACTTAGTCACCGCCTCCCTATCACCACCTATCCTCCTTATTCTATTTTATTTTTTCCTATTGCACTAATTATCATCTAATATATGTACCTGCTTTTTTTTTCTAGAGAACCTCATTTAATTCCCATCTATAAATTTATGTATTAAAATCTATTTCTTTAAGTTTCTTTTTTTTAATGCTTTTTTTCTTTATTGATTTTAGAGAGAGAGGAAGGGAGAGATAGAGAGAGACAGAAACATCAATAAGAAAGAACACTGACTGGCCGCCTCCTGCATGTCCTCCATTGGGTATCTGGCCCACAACCTGGGCATGTGTCCTGACCGGAAATCAAACTGGCAACCTCATGGTGCATGGGTCGATGCTCAACCACTGAGCCACACCAGCTGAGCTAAATCTTATTAAAATTTTTAAAATACATACATTTTCCCCCAAAATGAGCACAGTATTAACACATTAGACATCTCTGGAAATCCAATTAATCAAGCCTGAAAATATAAGATTACCTTTTTTCTGATCAGCAAATTTTGTTATTGGAGGAGGTAAAAAATAGCTAATCTGCCCTGGCCAGTTTGGCTCAGCGGTTAGAGCATCGATCTGCGGTCCTGAGAGACCCGGGTTCGGTTCCCGCTAAGGGCACGTACCTCAGTTGCAGTTTGTCCCCGGCCCTGGTCGGTTGTGCGGGTGGCAACCAGTCGATGTGTCCCTTCACGTCGATGTTTCTCTCTCTCTCTCTGTTCCTCTCTCTCTCCCTCCCACTCTACCTGAACAAAAAAAAATGGAAAAATATCCTCGGGTGAGGATAAAAAAATAAAAATAAAAAAATAAAAATATTCAATACTATCACGCAACTTCCAGTCAATATATCAGAAGCAAAAATGCAAGAGGCCAATCCTTTGCACCAAATACACAGAAATACTAAGTAAAATGTAACACCATAACCACTACCAAAAACTGCACAGCCAAGCTCAAAAGCAAGAAAGAGAAATCTCCAAGTGCTATCAACACAGAGGAAGCTCAAAGCCAGAGTGGTAAACAGCTAAAGCCAGAGAGTCCAAAGAGATATTAGAACCAGGTGTATGCATATGGCTGCAGTATTGACAATCAATGCCTATATAGTTAGGAAGGTGACTAAACTAAACTGAATAAAAACTCCCTCAATAAAGCCAAGAGCAGTGAAGGATTGTCATATCTGTGAAAAAAAAATAGATCAAAGAGCCACCCTTAAGAAATCATACAGCACTGAGTGCTGCAGGGAAGGTTCAGAAACTTCTAAAAGGGTTTCACTCTACCATCTCTAGGGACTTTCCCCGTATTAACAGACCTCTGAAAAGAAAAAAGAAAATTTTCTCCGTGAAAGACACATATTTTCTAATGTTTAACTTTTATACAGTGAAAATAGAAAAATTATGAAAAGATAAAAAATTACTAATTTTTTAAACCCAAATATTTCACAATGCAAATCAACTAAGTGATAAAATAAAAATAAAATAGGCCTTGACAGGTCATAGAGGTACCAGAATGGCTCAAGGCAAACAAGGAATATGCCTTTATGTCCATGATGAAAAGCAATGGCACTACAATGTGAGCAATGCTCAGGTTCCTGCAGGATCACCTGTGAAAGCATGTGTGTGTTGGTGTGAGAGTGTGGGAGTATGTTTCATTATACCATAAATACAGACAGCTGCCTTTGCAGTAGAACTGGATTGTAGATTCACAAATATAGAAGTAATAAGTGCTGTGGACTTTTAAGCATAAAACATGGTTGAAACATCAACTGTTAAATACAAAAATGTCAAGAATATGCTGCACATAAACATTTATTCATCATAGCTAAATTCATTATACAACTAAGAGTCAATAGGTAGGGATAAAATGTAAATCTTTAAATATACCTCTGAGAAACACTTCCTGAGTGTATCTGGGACTTTACCATCCACCACATGGAGCATTCTTTCCATTTCTTCCCGTGTAACATAGTTTCCAGACTCACTTGCAAAAAGACTAAAAATATCTAGGAGAAAGGGAAAATAAATTAATCTTATCATAGATCAAATATACCCTGGTGGAAGTAGGGAGGAAAGAGACAGGTAACAATTACTGAGTTATTCCTAGTGCCAAGCACTTTATAAACACATATACGTTTGTTTACTTATTCCTTTAAAAAAATACCAGCAATGCAAATTAAAATAACAATGTGATATCTTTACAAACATACCAAATTTGCAAAAATGTTCAGGTGTGGCCCTGGCTGGTTTGGTTCAGTGGTTAGAGCGTTGGCCTGCGGACCAAAGAGTCTAGAGTTCAATTCTGGTCACTTTGCAGGCCAGAAAGGAGTGGTAAGAAATAGTAAAAGTGATGAAAAGCAAAGACCTACAACCAATATTACTCTATCTTGCAAAGTTATCATTTAGAATCAATGGCCATACAAAGAGTTTCCCAGATAAGAAAAAGCTAAAGGAGTTAATCACCACCAAACCAGTATTACATGAAATGTTCACAGGTCTTCTTGAAGAAGATAAAAAAATATGAACAATAAAATGGCAATAAATATATATCTATCAACAACTGAATCTGCAAAAAAAATGAGCAAGCAGAACAGAAACAGACTCATAGATACAGAGAACTTTTTGTTGGTTGCCAGATGGGAGGGGAGTTAGGTGAAAAAGATGAAGGGATTAGGAAGTACAAATTGGTTGTTAGACTGATGAACCTCAAAGGGAAGGGGATTAGGTGGGGTGGGAAAAGAGAAACCAAAGAACTTATATGCATATATGCATAACCAATAGACCCAGACAATAGTGTGGGTAAAGCAGGAGGGAGGAAGGACTAAGGAGGAGGGGGTCAAGGGAGGAAAAAAGAGGGACATTTGTAATACATTCAACAATAAAGTTAAGTTAAATATATATATATATATTTTTAATTCAGGGAAAATGCAAACTGCAAAATAATTTGTGTAGTATACCATTTATTTTCATTTTTTTCCCCTTTATTAATTTGAGAGAGAGAGGATGGGAGAGGGAGAGAGAGATAGAAACGTAGATTAGAGAAAAAATCAATTGGTCGCCTCCTGCATGCCCCACATGGGCATGTGCCCACAACCTGGGCATGTGCCCTGACCAGGAATTGAACTGGCAACCTCTTGGTGCATGGGTCAACGCTCAACCACTGAGCCACACCAGCCAGCCTACCGTTTATTTTAAAACTTTAAAATCTATGCCCTGGCTGGTTTGGCTCAGCAGTTAGAGCATTGGTCCTCGAACCAAAGAGTCACGGATTCCATTCTGGTCAAAGGCACATAGCTCAGTTGATGTGTCTCTCTCACATCGATGTTTCTCTCTCTCTCTCATTCCCTCTCTCTCTTCCCTCCTCCCCAATCCATCTGAGGATAAGTGGAAAAAAACATCTTCAAATGATGATTTAAAAAAAATAAAGGTGCTGTAGGCCCAAAAAGTGTGGCTCAGCGGATTGAGCAGCATTCCATGCACCAAGAGGTCACAGGTTCAATTCTGGTCAGGGCACATGCCCAGGTTGCAGGCTCAGTCCCCAGTAGGGGGCATTCAGGAGGCAGCTGACAGATGTTTCTCTCTCATCAATGTTTCTATATCTCTCTCCTTCTCCCTTCCTCTCTCTCCAAAAACTGATAAAAGTATAATTAAGCCCTGGCCAGTTTGGCTCAGCAGTTGGAGCATCAGCCTGCAGACCAGAGAGTTCCGGGTTCAGTTCCCACTAGGGGCATGTACCAAAAAATAAATAAATAATTTAAAAAATAAAAAGTGCTGTAGGCCCTGGCCAGATAATTCAGTTGATTAGAGCACTATTCTGATACACCAAAGTTGCGGGTTTGATCCCCAGTCAAGGCACATACAAGAAGCAAACAATGAACACATCAGTAAGTGGAACAAGTCGGTGTTTCTCTTTCTGTCTAAAAATCAATAAAAAAGATTTAAAAGTTTAAATACTGTGCCCTGGCTGGTTTGGCTCAGTGGGTGGAATGAGGCCCAAGGGCCAAATAGTCCCAGGTTCGATTCCGGTCAAGGGCACATGGTTCCATCCCTGGCCCTGGTCGGGGTCAGTCAGGAGGCAACCAATCAATGTGTCTCTCTCATATTAATGTTTCTTTATCTGTCTCCCTTTCTCTCCCTCCCTTCCTCCCTCCCATTCTATCAGAAGATAAATGGAAAAATATCCTTGGGTTAGAATTTTTTTTAAAAGTTTAAAATCTGCAAAAGAGTTAAAGATATGTTTAAGGATATATAAAAATGGTATACATGTATAAGAAATGAAACATCACCAAAATCATGAGAATAATAACCTCTGTGAAGAGAAGAATGGAAATGGGACCATGGAGTGATACAAAGAGAGAACTTTGCCTTGGCTATAATATTTTATTTAAAAACTAGATCTGGGACAAATATAATATAATATTAAGAAATAATAGCCCGGTGATGTGGCTCAGTGGATTGAGCGTTGTCCCACAGACTGAGAGGTCCCGGTTCGATTCCTGGTCAGGGCATGTGCCCTGGGTTTCAAGTTCGATCCCAGGATGGGGCATGCCAGGAGGAAGCTGACAGATCAGTGGTTCTCAAGCTGTGGGTTGTGACCCCTTTGGGGGTCAAACGACATATTTCCAATGGTCTTAGGAACCGAGACACCGCTCCTCTATCCGTCTCCAGGTGGGTCCGCCCACATGCAGATACGCCCACATACAACATGAGGAACTATATTAAAGGGTTGCAGCCTTAGGAAGGTTGGGAACCACTGAGATAGATGTTTCTCTTTCACATCAATGTTTCTATTTTTCTCTCTAAAAAATCAATAAAAATATATTTAATAAAAAAGAAATAATAAAGCTGGGTAGAGGTATATATATTTTATATATATATGCTTGAAATACTGCTATTATGGGTTGATCTACATCCCCAAATAAGGTATGTTGAAATCCTAACCTCTGGGTACCTGTGAATGTGTACCTTACTTGGAAAGGGAGATCACAGAAAGATAGAAGAGACATTCCATCCCTCTAAAGGCCCAGTGGGTTCCACTGTCTGCCTTCCTGTGTCCCAAAGCCGATTCCCTTAGGGCAGTGATTTTCAAACTTTTTCATCTCATGGCACACATAAACTAATCACTAAAATTCTGTGACACGCCAGAAAATATATTATATGTTTTGCCAATCTGACAAAAAAATAGGTATAATTTTTATTCATTCACACCAGACAGCTATTGTTGTATTGGCTGTTGTTATTTTTTCATTTGACAATCTAAGGGAAAAGAGGTCAATGCCCCTGACTAAATAGTCAGGTATTACATGTTTAAAAATTCTTGCAGCACCTGGGTTGAAAATTGCCGCCTTAGAGGGAATATATATTACTAGAGGGCTCCAACCATCTGTTATGGGTTGAATTGTGGCCCCCCAGAGATAATGAAGTCCTAACTCCGGTACCTATGAATGTGACTTTGGAATAGGGTCTTTATGAAGGTAATCAACTTAAGATGAGGTCATTAGGATGGACTCTAATCCAGTATGACGGATTATAGGATGAGAAGACATGGTTAGAAGAAAGCCATGTGATGAGATAGGCAGATTAAGGTAATGCAGCTGTAAACCAAGGAACACCAAAGATGGATGGCCACCCCCAGAAGTTGGGAAGAAGAAAGGATTCTTCCCTACACATTTCAGAGGGAGTAAGGCCCTGCTAAGATCTTAATTTTGGACTTCTAACCTCCAGAAGTGTGAGATATTAAACTTCTGTTGTTTTAAGCCACCTAGTTCATGATATTTTTGTTACATAACTCTAGGAAACTAATGAAATTGTATAATAAAAATGAAAAAAATTTTCAAATAATATGTTTGTGTTTATGACTCAAAAATTTTTAATTACTGGCTGCCTGGATCCAGAGTATAGGTTTGCTGATAGTGGGATACTACTGACAGAACTAGGATCATAGTTAAATTCAATATATAAAATTGGGTTTATGGATATATTCATTATCTTGATTGTCATAATGTGAGTATAATCTCAAAAGATATAAAAATGTACGCTTTATACATGTGGATTTTATTCAGTGTCAATTAAACCTGAATGAAACTGTAGAAAAGGAAATAAAGGCATATCCTAGGAAACACAGATGGACAATGATCAATTAAAGTTATCTTCCTTTTCATATTAAGGGGATAAATGATGCCTTCTCATTATAATATTTGCTTGCTTAGTGGGATTTAAAGGTCATGGATGAGGTGCCATCCCCTTCTGGGCTTACATAATTCACCTAGTAAAATTAATTTCTGGAATTAAAGTAAAACCATTACAAAGAATTAAACCTTTTACCAAGAATCCACATAAACATTATCAAGTAAATGAACATTTGTTTCTATTTGTGAAGTAAAGCAAGAATAGACTGCTAAAAATCTATGCCATCAGAATTTTTAAAATAAAACCTTTGAGATATAATGCACATTTCTTAAAATTCACCCTTTAAAGGTATACAATTCAGTGTAATCTTCATTACTATTTAATTCCAGAACATTTTTATCCCAAAAAGAAACCCCATATTTATTAGCAGTCACTCTCCATTTCCCTCTCCCCCACCCTCTGGCAACCACTACTCTACTTTCTGGCTCTATGAATTTGTCTAATCTAGACATTTTAAATAAATGAAATCATATAATATATGACCTAATTTGACTGGCATGTATCATTTAACATAGTATTTTCGGGTTCAACCATGTTGTAGCATGTATCAGTACTTTACTTCTTTTTTATTGTTGAGTAATATTTTATTGCATGAAAATAGCACATTTTTGTTTACTGTAGTTGATGAACATTAGGGTTGCTTTCATTTGTGACTATTATGAACAATGCTGCTATGAACATTCATGTACATTTTTTTGTTAATGAATACAGGTTTGAACCATGCAGCTCCACCTATACACAGATTTTTTTTTTTCTTCAATAAATGCTTGTATTGTTTTTTGATCCACAGAGGACCGACTATACGCACTGATCTATGCCATTTTATATAGGCAGACTTCAGCATTTGTGGGTTTTGGTATCTGCAGGGGGTCCTGAAACCAATCCCTCCCAGATACTAATGGAAAACTAAGTTTTAAATGGGTCAGAAGTTATATGTGAATTTTCAACTGCACAGGGGTTGGTGCCCCTAATCACTGCATTGTTCCAGGGTTAAATATGTTACCAATTTTCTTAGGTATATAATTAGGAGTGGAATTGCTGGATCATGTAACAACTCAATTAAAAAATTTTTTAAATTGGTTTTGAGAGAGAGAGGCAGAGAAAGAGAGAGAAACATTGATATGAGAGTGAAACATTGATGTGAGAGTGAAACACTGATCGACGGCCTCCCGCATGCCCCCTACTGGGAATCAAGTCCAAATCCTGGGCATGTGCTCTGACTGAGAATCCAACTGGCAACCTTTAGGTGCACAGAGCAACGCCCAACCAAGCCACACTGGTCAGGGCAATAACTCAATTTTTAACAAAAGTTTGAAGAATTGCCAGTTTTTTCAAATGGCTGTCCTATTTTATACTTCCAACAGCAATGTAGGGATTGCACTTTTCCCACATCCTCACTAACACTAATATTGTTTCTTTTTTATTTTAGTATGAATTAATGTCTCATTGTAATTTTAATTTGCATTCCCCTAAAAACTAATTATGTTGAGCATTCTTTGAAGTGCTTATTGGACACTTGTTTATCTTCTTTGAAAAAATGTCCATTCAGGATAAAAAAGCTGTGGTACATATACACAATGGAGTACTATGCAGCGGTAAGAAAGAAAGATCTCTTATCCTTTGAGACGACATGGAGGGACCTGGAAAGTATTATCCTAAGTGAAAGAAGCCAAGCAGAAAAAGACAGATACCACATGATCTCACTTATATACGGAATATAATGAACATAACAGTCTGAGGAATACAGTAGACCCAGACACATGGAAGTAGGGCACAGACTGACATCCCTCAGAAGAGGGGATGGGGGGTGGGGGGGTGGGAAGAGATAAACCACAGAACTTATATGCATGTATGCATGACCAATGGACATGGACAACTAAGCCGGGGACAGGGTGGAGGGGGGTGGGGGTGGGGGGTGCCAATGGGGTAAAAAGGTAAAATATCTGAAACAAAAAAATAAATAAAAATTCATTAAAAAATAAATAAATAAATAAAATAAAATAAAATAAAAAAAGAAAAAATGTCCATTCAAATCCCTTGCCTGTCATCAGAAATCTGAGGTAAAATAATTCTGCACACACATCTATACTATCATTTTGAGATACTAAAAGTACTTACATTTTGCTTTCTCTTCATCTCTGCCTCTTGTAAGAAGAACAAGTCCAACTATTAAATTATTGAAGTGCAGTCCCTTTGATGTACCACCAAAAGAACAGTAAATCACCTAGGAGAAAATGATAAAGCCAATCTTAGATGCTCCAGTTGGCAAAGAATTTGAGGCTGATAACACCTTAAACAAATCTTGTCTCTATCACCAAAGTCCCTATAAACTTTAGTGAAATAATAAGTTTCTCCCTCTTCTTCCTCTTTAACACCTAGTTAATGCACTGAGCCAAGAATATACTATACCTTTTCTCAAGTATATGTATCACTGGCTCACACACTGAATATTTATTCTTTCTCTTTGGAGTCCTTACCAAGGTCCAGGAAGATAAAGGTCCTTTTCCTCAACAGCCCCAATAATGTGATAAGGATTTTATGTGATACAGAACTTCCTTCAACTTCTGTAAAAGGTATACACATCATTTTGATTTGAAAGACTGACATTCTCTAATTGAACCATGCAAAAAATTCATTTCTTTAATATGACCTTTTCACCTTTCTTTCCTTTTGATTCAAACTGGCCTCATCCAGCACCCTGACTTACCTGCCACCTTCTCCCTTGCAAGTTCACTGCCTTAATCATTAAGCACTTAGGACAATGAGATTCTAGTCAGCATCAAAGCCTCTCAGAACAAAGGTCTATTGACCACAGAGACAGAGTTTCAATCAAACTAGAGATAACATCTAGGCCTCAGTTGTGTTCAGCTCCAAATTGATCCCACCAACCACATCCTTTGAAACCAGACAAAGTGATGCCATGGGTAACATCAGGACCAGATGCAATTATCAACTACCCCCTGCCTTGATGCCAGCCAAACAGTAGAGACCACAACTCTAACTTCCTTAGTTACCATGATTAATGATTTTCCCCCTATATAACCAAACCATCCCCTAGAAGCCATCGGGGAGCCAGGTCTTTGAGCATTTAGCTCATCAGGGACTCTAGGTGTGGGCCACCTCATCAAGTAATAAATCCTTATTTATTTTGTTGCAAACTCCTGTTGGCGTCTTATTGGGCTTTGATGGGTACAGGCAAATGGACCCCTTTCGTCTGGTAATAAATGTTCAGAAATACAATGGCAATTATATTACTATATATAAATGTATCAAATTAACATGTTTTTACATTTAGTTATACGTCAAATATATTCAATTAAAAAGATAAGAAAATCCCTGGCCAGTGTGGCTCAGTTGGTTGAGCATTTCTGTGCACCAAGAAGTCACAGGTTTGCATTGTGGGCTCAATCCCCAGTAGGGAGTGTGCAGAAGGCAGCTGATGGATGTTTATCTCTCCCTCTCCCTTCCTCTCTCTCTAAAAATAAATAAATATCATATATTTTTTTAAGGAAAGAAAATATAGCCCTGGTCGGTTTTGTTCAGCGGTTGGAGTGTCAGCCGGCAGACCAGAGAGTCCTGGGTTCAGTTCCCGGTAGGGGCACGTACCAAGAAAAAAAAAAAAAGAAAATACAAAGAGATTCCAAAAGACATTTTTTAAACTCTTACAAATAGGTATTATAGTAATCAGAAGAAGAAAAGCTGTAAGTGTGATATTGTAACATAATAAGAAATAAATATTTGATCTTCCTCTAGGTTCCTGACACAAGAGCTTCTAAAACTCTTGGAATTTCCTGATATTGGTGAAAGGAATACCTTTTGTTATCCATAAGCCGCTTTCAACCATACCTAAGTGTATGCTAATGAGATGACTCTTGGGCCCTTTGGGATCTTTATAAAGCTTCAGAATAGGAGCAAGTAGGCAGAGAAACTAACAATATAATCAGAGGGTTGTAACTTTCAGACCTACTCCCAAATCTCTAGTAAGGAGATAGGGCTGGAGATTAAGTCAATTACCAATGGCCAATGATTTAATAAACCACACCTATGTAATGGAGATTCCACAAAAAAATAAAAATTTTAAAAATCTAAACTATGGGATTTGGAGAGTTTCTGGGTTGGTGAACACATCAAGGTACTCAAAGAGTGGAGTACCCAAAGAGGACATGGAAGTTCTGTACACCATTCCTCTCCTACCTCCAACCTCCATTCCAATACCTTGTCCAATACATCCCTTTCCATTTCCACTATTCCATAATAAATAAACTGGCAATAGTAACTAAAGTGCCTGCCTGAGTTCTGTGAGCCATTCTAACAAAGTATCGAACCTGAGGAGGAGGTCATGGGAAGCCTCAATCTATAGCCAACTGGTTAGAAGTATGGGAGGTCCAAAACCTGCATCTGGCATCTTGAAATGGGGTCTGTACTAACTCAAAGTAGTCAGTATCAGAATTGAACTGATTGGTAGGACACCCAGTTGGTGTCCAGGGAATCGGAGAACTGATATGAGATAAAAATTCATATATTTGGTGTCAGTAGTACTATGTAGTAGCTATTTTTTTAATTTTATCCTCACCCGAGGACATTTTTCCATTTTTTGTTCAGACAGAGTGGGAGGGAGGGAGGGAGGGAGTGAGAGGGAGGGAGGGAGGGAGGGAGAGAGAGAGAGAGAGAGAGAGAGAGAGAGAAACATCGACGTGAAAGGGACACATCGAGTGGCTGCCACCCGCACACACAACCCAACCAGGGCCGGGGACAAACTGCAACCGAGGTATACGCCCTTAGCAGGAACCGAACCCAGGCCTCTCTGGACCTCAGGCCAATGCTCTAACCACTGAGCCAAACCGGCCAAAACTTTTGACTTTTTTAATTCATCAATCTTTTGCACTAAGATTCCAAAATTACCTTTTCTTACTCATCAAAGATATATGTTACTACTTACACTATAAAGAAAAGGACTGATTAACTAGGGAATAAAGTTCTCTCTCCACCTACAATTGGCAACTTAAGTAGTTCCTGGGGCTTTTCTTAGAGAGACATTGACATTAAAGTAATGCCATTGTGTCTCAAAACATTAATTTCAGAATCCCACCAAGAGTAAGTAACCCTCTTCACCAGATGTAAGGCCCAAGCTCTCTATAAGATTTTAAAAAAGGTCTCACAAAGGCCATATGCAGTGGAATGATTACTTTCTTAAGCTTTGCAACTACATATAATCACTTTGTTTATAAATTCCATCATTTAACTTGATTTCCCTGCAGTAGAATACAAATCCTATTCTATGAGTCTACCTAACCACTAAAACTAAATTCAAGATTCAAAACTGCCTGCCCAAACCTATACTTCCATTTTATTTAAGATGTACCATTTCCCCTTAGGCAAACTGCATTCTGCACATGTGAATTATACTCATAAATTCTCTCCCTTTCCCAAATACATAGTAAAGCTGATGAAGTCTATCTACTGACCTGACTATCTTTAAAAGATACTTAAAATAGCCCTGGCTGGTTTGGCTTAGCAGTTAGTGTGTTGGCCCATAAGAGTTGCAGGTCTGATACCCAGTCAAGGACACTTACCTGGGTTGCAGGTTCCATCCCTGGCCCCAGTCTGGGTCGTGCAGGAGACAGCCAATCGATGTGTCTCTCATATCAATGTTACTCTCTTTCTTTCTCTCTCTCTCTCTCTCTCTCTCTCTCTCTCTCTCTCTCTCTCTCTCCTTCCCTTCCACTCTATCTAAAAATCAATGGAAAAGTGTCCTCGGGTGAGGATTAACAAAAAAATAAATAAATAAAACATAATCCCAACATAAAGACTTGTCAAAGTGATGAAGTTCTTTTGTTTTGTTTTTTATCCTCACCCAAGGACATTTTTGCATTTATCTTCAGAAAGAGTGGGAGGAAGAGATGGGGAAAAGGGAGAGATGAACATCGAAGTGAGAGAGACACATCGAGTAGTTGCCACCCACACAACCCCAACCAAGGCAGGGACAAACTACAGCCAAGAGGTATATGCCCTTTGCGGGAACCGAACCCGGGATTCTCTGGGTCACAGGCCGACAACCACTGAGCCAAACTGGCCAGGGCCAGAGTGATCAAGTTTATAAGAATAAGAAGCCAGCCCTGGCCGGTTTGCCTCAGTGGTTAGAGCATCGGCCTGGGGTCCGGAGAGACCCGGGTCAGTTCCCACTAAAGGCACGTACCTTTGGTTGCAGTTTGTCCCCAGCCCTGGTTGGTTGTGCAGGTGGCAACCAATCGATGTGTCCCTTTCACATCAATGTTTCTCTCTCTCTTTCCCTCTCACTCTATCTGAACAAAAAATAGAAAAAAAAATGTCCTCGAGTGAGGATAAAAAAAAAAAAGAATAAGAAGCCAGCCATACTAATGGTTTCATGATTATAATCAGTGGCTATTAAAGCTCAGAAGTACAAAAGAGGCAGAATTGCAGCTCTGCAGTACTTCTATTTGGCCTCTAAGAACACAGCCACATTGACATCTAAAACAAGACCTACTTACCTACATAGAAAGAAAAACAAAGCAGGGCGGGAGAGGTTACATTTGTTAAGATCACCAGGCCCCTCAAACTTCAGGCTGGTGGATAACTATCTCAAAGGAAAACCCAGAACACAGAGATTACCTCAGCAACTTTTGGAGGCACTCCATCCCCAAGCACTTCCCTGATGAAACAGTGCTGGCCCATGTAATATGAGAGTCCACAGGTCCTCTTGAAGGCATCTTTCAGTCGTTTCAGCTCTACATCTGTAACTACAATTCAGAAATAGAAGATGGATAAGAAACTAGAAGAGAAAAGACGTCTATCAAATCTTCATTTTATTCAATCCAGTTCCTAATAAAGTTTGGCAAATATTACTTCTCTTTCCAGATAAGTAAAACAAACCCAAAGATACTTAGTCATAATTCTAATATTTTCTAATGTAATCTAGTAAATAAATATGAAAATTCTTGATCCACTATCTTCAAACAACAGAACATTATGCATACATTTCAAGCAGGGGTAAGGAAGAGGCAACAAGTATTTCAAATTAGCAGGTAAATTAAATGGCATTAGATTCTGTTTTCGGCAGCAATGCACTCATTTCCTTTGAGTTAAAAAGTATATCATTTGGTTCAGCCGGTGTGACTCAGTGGCTGAGCGTCGACCCATGCATCAAGAGGTTGTCGGTTCAATTTCAGATTGGGGCACATGCCCAGGCTGTGGGCTCAATAGCCAGTGGGGGGTTGTGCAGGAGGCAGCCAACTGATGTTCTCTCTCATTGATGTTTCTATCTCTCTCTCCCTTTTTCCTTCCTTTCTAAAAATCAATACAGAAAAATTATTTTTTTAAATTATATTATTTGTACTTCTTAAGCATGTACCCATCCATGTGGAAGATAGCCCCAAGTTTAACTTAGATTTTTGTCATCGTTTACAGAGAAAGTAATCCATACACAATGATTCTAACAACCTAAAATTTTTAGATACCCACTATCAAAAAATAACTACTGAGCCATTACTTTCTTTTAGGCATTGAAGACTTTTTCTCATTGAATAGAACAATCTCTGTCTACAAAGACAGAAAAATAAACACCCTTAATGCTAGGCAGTCAGTACAATGATCACAATGGAGACAGAAATGATACTGTTAGCCCATGCTGGAAGAAAAAGAAGACTTCTGGACAAAAATGATTACATAAAACTTTAAAGGCTAATCCAAGCAACAGGACTAGGGCATGCCAGGCAGCGATTAACAGTTTGTTTCAAAGTAAAATGATGTACAGACAGAGATTATGTAGAATTGTATATTACTATAACTAAATAAACAAGGCAGGGAGTAGTAAATGATAAACCTAGAGAGGTAGTCATTGACCAAGATTATGCTCTGTCAGCCCTGGCCGGTTTGGTTTAGCAGTTAGAGCATTGGCCTGCAGTCCCAAGAGACCCAGGTTCCATTCCCACTAAGGGTGTGTACCTCGGTCGCAGTTTGTCCCCAGTCCTGGTTGGGTCGTGTGGGTGGCAGCTACTCAATGTGTCCCTTTCACATCAATATTTCTTTCTCTCTCTCTCTCTCTCTCTCTCTCTCTCTCACTCCCACTCCCACTCCCCCTCACCCACTCTGTCTGAACAAAAAAATGAAAAAATGTCCTCAGGTGAGGATTAAAAAAAAAAACTCCAGGCAGATAGGAAATAGGACAAAAATAAAATTTATTCTACCAGTAGTGTAGAGAACTGAACAAGCCTGGAAGAAAAAAAGCAGACTGCTACTTCAAGAGGGAAAAAAAAGGAGAAGCTAAATCTGGGAAATATCTAGAAAGAAAAGTCAGCAGAACTTGGACCCTGAATGACAGTGAAAGCAATCTAGAGTAATACTCAGGATTCTATCATGAGAAACTTGAAAGATGGCATTATCATGTAGAAAGGGAATATAAGAAAACAAGTATGTGATGAAGAAAAGGTGATAAATTCTGGTAAGGACACATCAAATATGAGGAAGCTTGGGGAGATTCATTAGGTTTTTACAATAATGAGTGTAAAGCTTAGGAAATTAGGAAAGGTTTAATGGGAGTCATCAGCATATAGGTGGCACTTAACATGACTAAGAAGCACAAGACAAAGACAAAACTAAGAGATCTCCCATCCAAGTACTAACCAGGCCCGACCCTGCTTAGCTTCCGAGATCAGACGAGATCGGGCGCGTTCAGGGTGGTATGGCCGTAGACTAAGAGATCAATTTTACAGTGCATGCAGAGGAAAAGAAAATACTTAATGAATGTTGATAGGAATAGTTAGAACAGGAAAAACATGAGTGTGATCTCCAAACAAGAGGAAGAAGGGACTGGTCTACAGTCTGAAGTAAGGCACAAAAGACCAGCAAGATAAAGACTGAAGCCCTGGCTGGTTTTCAGTGGTTAGAGCATCAGCCCGTGGACCAATTACTAGTGGGTTCAATTCCAGTCAAGGACAGGTACCTGGTTTGCAGTTTGCCCGCCACCCTGGTCAGGGTCCTGTGGGAGGCAACCAGTTGATGTGTCCCTCTCACATGGATGTTTTTCTCTCTTTCTCCTTTTCTCTCCCTCTCTCCCACTCTATCTGAAGATAAAACAGAAAAGTATCCTTGGGTGAGGATTAAAAATATAAAAGACTAAAGAGTGTCTGGCACATAGATTATCTATCATCTAATAAGTGTCAGTGATAGGGAGGAAAAGTTCATGTGTTCAACAACATGTTGAGCAATGATATACGATAAGAGCTAATGCTTGAATAAGCAGCTAAAGTGTGAAACTAGATGCTTACTTAATTCATTAAATATGGGACTCATTAACATTCCCTATATATATATATTTTTTTTTTTTCATTAGAACACAGAAGTGAAAAACAACAAAACTCATCGAATAAATTACAATAATAGAGAAGAAATTACTTCAGCTACTGGAATATCTATTTCTTCAAGATGCCTAATTTTCATTAATGGCTTTATTAACAAATTAGGATGCTCACAGTCTAGTGGAGGAGACAAGAAAATCAATCACTGGGGTATGTAAAATAATAATCACACACACTGTTGATTATAAATTATTTGAAAAACTGTTTGGTAATATGTTTTTAAAAAGCAATTTATTACAAGAAAATGTACAACAAGCTTTTTAAAGTATTTATAAGAAGGAATGTCCTTCAAGAAAAGGAAAGATTGACTGCAAAACTAATTCAGAGATGGCAAGGCTGCCACTCCCACCATAGGCCCAGGAGGCAGGGCTGGTTTCAAAAGGTGTGTCTCTTTGGTTCTAGGATAGGGGACCAGGATGCCACTACACAGTGCCTCAAGAGCAAGGCCATGGCCCAGTGCCTAGGGGCATGGCTGCCCCACAGAGTCATGGGGGTACACTGCCTCCCCAGTGGGCCTGAAGGGCAGTGCACCGAACCACAGAGGATTGATTATTCTTGAGACTTAACATCTAATGGAATTTGATTTGCTAAATTTGGGGCTTGCTTGGGACCTGTCACCTCTTTCTTCTTTCCGTTTTCTCCCTTTTAGAATGAGAATGACTATCCTATTCTGTCTCACCATTATATTTTGGAAGCACATTAACTTGACTGGTTTCACAGGTTCAGATAGAGAGGAATTTTGCCTCAGGATAAATGTATCTCCTGTCTCACCCCTATCTGGATTCAGATGATAGACTATGGACTTCAGAACTGATGCTGGAATGAATTAAGAGTTTGGGGGCTGTTGGGACATAATGAATATATTTTTGACGCAAGGAGAACATTCATTTTGGGGGGTCAGGGGCAATGTTATATATAGACTGAATGTACATGTCTCTCAAAATTCCTATGTTGAAACCCTAACGCCCAGTGCTGACTGTATTTACAGTTGCAAAGTAATTAAGGTTAAATGAGGTCATAGGGGTGAAGTCCTGAGTGGATGAGATTAGCATCCTTATAAGAAGAAACACCAGCCCTGGCAGGTTTGGCTCAGCAGTTAGAGCGTCGGCCTGTGGTCCAGAGAGACCCAGTTCGGTTCCCGGTAAGGGCATGTACCTCGGTTGCAGTTTGTCCCCGGCCCTGGTTGGGTTGTGCGGTGGCAGCCATTTCTATGTGTCCCTTTCACGTCGATGTTTCTCTCTCTCTCTCTTCCTCTCTCTCCCTCCGACTCTATCTGAACAAAAAACGAAAAAATGTCCTCGGATGAGGATAAAAAAATAAATAAATAAATAAATAAATAAATAATAGGAAGCAAGCAATTAGCTAAAATAAAGAAGAAGAAGAAGAAGAAGAAGAAGAAGAAGAAGAAGAAGAAGAAGAAGAAGCAGCAGCAGCAGCAGCAGCAACACCAGAGAACTTAAAAAAGTATTCTCTTGCTCTGCCTTTAGGCATACAGAGAAAAGGCTACTTGAGGGCACAGAGATCAGGTGGCTATCTGCAAGCCAAGAAGAGAATCACCACCAAAAACCAAATCCTACCAGAACCTTGATCTTGGACTTTTCAGGTTCCAGAACTGTGAAAACATTAATTTCTGTTTTTTAAGCCACCCACTCTTTGGTATTTTCTTATAGCAGCCTGAGCAAACTAATCCAATTTCTATAGTACAGATAATAAACAGGCCAAATCCTCCTTGCCAATGTAGAGAAGCTTTTTAAAATGGCTTCTGCAGGGTCCTATGAAGAGATTAGAATTTATAATCCTTGCAGGGAAAATAAAAGTAAAGTATCTTTGGAAAATATACTCCAAGACCCCACAGCAGATGCTTAAAACTATGGATAGTGTGAAAGCCATATATACTGGCTTTTCCCATACATACGTACCTATGATAAAATTCAAATTATAAATTAGGCACAGTAAGAGTTAACAACAATAATGAAAAGGAACAATTATTAAAATATACTGTAATAAAATCTATATGAATGGGTACCTCCCCTCAAAAAAAAAAAAAAAAATGTTATTGTAACTGCATATACATCGTGGATAACCTAGACAAAAGTAAACCTTTTTATAGACCTTTATATAGACTACCCACCATCATTTGCCCAGCTAGAATTTATGGTCAGATCACCCTGTGAGGTTACTTTCAGTCAGATTTATGGCAAAGCCCCTTTTTCATCCACTCTCTCATAGAGCAAAGGCAGTTATCATACATTCAGATTTTTTGCCGAAAAATAGGAGTTGCTATTTAAACAGTTTGGTTCCAAAGGCATAAATGAGGCAGACAAACACTAGGAAACATGCTTTTCACTGCCAAAGTAGGGCAAGAATTTCCAAACACAGAAGCAAAGCATCAGATGTAGTAAATACATCACAACAGTATTAATTTATAAATGTGCTTGGTGCAACTGATCTAAAGCGAATCTACCTACTAAAAGTCTGTCTCGCAGGCAACCTATAGCAAAGGCTACTACAAAGCCACTTCAGGAAGATAATAAAGGGCATCCTAGATGGAACATCTCAGACAAGAGACAGCCTACAGTCACCAAGTCTTTTTTGCCACTACTGACCTTGTTGAGAACAAAACCCCAGCAGAGTTTCAGAATGTATGTATCTAATGTTAAATGGTGTCATAAGAGTTTTTTCTCTGCTAAGAAGGGGCAAATCAAAGTGGAAGGGTTAAACTCTTACACATACTTGTAATCTTAAATCAAGGGGCACAAAATTAGAAATTCTTAAACTAATATCTGTTCTATAAACTAGACTCTCTTATCTTCCTTTAAAGCATGTATTAGAACAGAGAGCCAGCTGAAAAATAGAAAAAAAAAAAGACAATAAGGATTTCATGAGAGAAAACATTGGAAAATGTGTTCAATTTCATTAGTAATCAAGGAAATACAAATTAAAACCACGATGAAATATTACCACAACTATTAAAGTGGCTAAAATTAAAAGGCTAAGAACACCAAATGTTGCCAAGGATATAGAGAAACTGAAACTCTTATTCATTGCTTATGGGAATATAAAATAGTATATCCACTTTGGGAAAAGACTTAGCCATTTCTTTTTTTTCTTTTTTCCTTTTTAGAGAGAAAGAAACATCCATGTTAGAGAGAAATATCAATTGGCTGTCTCCTGCACACCCCCTACTGGCGATTGAGCCTGCAACCTGGGTGTGTGCCCTGACTGGAAATAGAACTGGGACCTCTCAGTCCATGGGACAACGCTCCATCCACTGAGCCCCACACCGGCTGGGTTAGCAGTTTCTTATTAAGTTAAACAAATACATTTTCTATAACCTAGCAATTTCACTTTTAAGGTATTTGTCCAAGAGAAATGAAAAATATATGATCCCAAAAGACTTTTTCAAAATATTCACAGTAACTTCATTGATAATAGCCAAAAACTGGAAATGACCCAAATGTCCAAGCACAAGGGAAAAAAAAAATGTAGTACAAATATCTGACTTACTGACAACTCACCAGTTCCTTACAAATGGACAAAAAATCCCTAAGGATACACTTATCCTTCAGTGCGTCTAACAGTAGTTGATAGACTCTGAGGCAACATCTAAAAAGGGTTACTGGCCTAGTAGGGAAGGGTATTCCATATCTACAAACATAAGGATTTATATACATTTTTAAACAACTTCAAACAACTTTTTCAATTTTATTGTGCTTCATCTAGTATTCCCACAGTATTACTCCTACTACTTTTTGTGTGTGCAAACATATATTTCAGCTAATCGAAGACTTAAATCTCTAAAAGCCACCTCCCTATGAATCTAATCATCATTTATAACATTGTTTCTATAGAGAAATAAATCTACAGAGTACTTTAGCCCCGGCCAGTTTGGCTCAGCAGTTAGAGCGTCAGCCTGCGGACCAGAGAGTCCCGGGTTCAGTTCCCACTAAGGGCACGTACCTTGGTTGCGGTTTGTCCCCAGCCCGGGTTGGGGTCATGTGGGTGGCAACCACTCGATGTGTCTCTCTCATGTTGATGTTTCTCTCTCTGTCTTCTTCCCTTCTCCCCCCGCTCTATCTTAAGATAAATGCAAAAATGTCCTTGGGTGAGGACAAAAAAAAAATTAATTTAAAAAAATAAATAAATCTACAGAGTACTTTAAGATTAGGCTTATCCTGAAGTCAAGGGTCTCTTCAATAAATGGTGTTGGAAAAATTGGACAGCTACTTGCAAAAAAATGAAGCTAGAATACCAACTTACACCATACACGAGAATAAACTCAAAATGGATAAAAGACTTAAATGTAACTCATGAATCAATAAAAATCTAGAAGAAAATGTAGGCAACAAAATCTCAGACATCATACACAGCAGAATTGTCACTGATACAACATCTAAGGCAAGAGAAACAAAGGAAAAAATGAACACATGGGACTACATCAAACTCAAAAGCTGCTGCACAGCAAAAGAAACAACCATCAAAACGAAAAGGGATCCCACCATATGGGAGACCATAATCACCAATGATGCATCAGATAAGGGGTTAATTTCCAAAATATATAGAGTGCTCATACAACTCAACAAAAGGAAGACAAAGAACCCAATTAAAAAATGGGCAGAGGACCTAAATAGACACCTCTCCAAAAAGGACATACAAATGGCCAAGAGACATATGAAGAAATGCTCAACATCACTAATCATCAGAGAGATGCAAATTAAAACAACTATGAGGTATCACCTCACACTTGTCAGAATAGCCGCCATCAACAAATCATCAAACAGTAAGTGCTGGCCAGGGTGTGGAGAAAAGGGGACACTAGTACACTGCTGGTGGGAATGCAGACTGGTGCAGCCACTGTGGAAAACACTATGGTGTTACCTCAAGAAGTTAAAAATTGAACTTCTATTTGACCCAGTGATCCCACTTCTAGGAATATACCCTAAGAAACCTGAAACGCCAATCAGAAAGAATGTATGTATCTCAATGTTCATAGCAGCACTATTTACAATAGCTATGATCTGGAAACAATCCAAGTGTCCATCAGTAGATGGGTGGATTAAAAAGCTGTGGTACATGTACACAATAGAATACTATGCAGCTGTAAGAAAGAAAGATCTCTTATCCTTTGATATGGCATGGAAGGACCTGGAGAATATTATGCTAACCGAAACAAGCCAAGCAGAGAAAGACAAATATCACATGATCTCACTTATTTGTGGAATATAATAAACTAAACAAACTGCTGAACAAAATTAACCCAGAGACACAGAAGTGGGGTACAGACTGACAAGTCTCAGAGGAGGGGAGGTTTGGGGGAAGGGAAGAGAGAAACCACAAAGTTTACATGCATGTATGCATGACCAGAGAACATGGACAACAAAATGGGAGATGGGGCAGGGGGGAAGGGAAGGGGGGTGTCAATGGGGGAAAATGAGAAACATCTGTAACAAAAACAAATAAATAAAAAATTTAAAAAAAAACAAACTAGGCTTATGCTTAGATTTAAAAAAAAAAAAAAGTGTTCCAATGGATTGGTTAATCCAGTATGTTTCTCTAACCCCACTCAATTTGTGCTACTAAATCATTCAATAGCACAAATCTAAACTTTGATAGCGAACTAGTCTACCAAAATGACATTTTCACAAATCCCTTTAAGCATTCACAATACGTTGTTTTGACTCTAAACTAAAACAAAGTAATATAGCTTTTGAAGGTAATGCCAAAAATAACCATTCCTCCAAAGTTTCTAATATACCTACCAAAGAGAAAAACAATGATAACATTTAAACAGTTAACATTAAATGTAGAATACGGCCGGTGTGGCTCACTGGTTGAGCATCAGCCCGCGGACCAGAGTCGCAGGTTCAATTCCAGTCAAGGGCACATACCTTGGTTGCGTTTCCTCCCCAGCTCTGGTTGGGGCAGTGCAGGAGGCAACCAGTCGATGTGTCTCTCTCACATCGATGTTTCTCTCTCTCTCCCTCCCACTCTATCTGAAGTTAAGCAGAAAAATATCCTTCAGTGAGGATTAACCAAAAAATAAAATAAATACAACCTACACTACATTCGATGATATAATTGTGTATCTCCCCTCTGCTCTTTGAGAACAAAGAAATGATCTTATTTAATCTGTATCCCAATACCTACAAAGAACCTTAAATATTACTGATGCTTGCCCTTGCTGGTTTGGCTCAGCAGTTAGAGCGTCAGCCTGCAGTCCAGAGAGACCCAGGTTCGGTTCCCACTAAGGGCACATACCTTGGTTGCAGTTTGTCCCCGGCCCTGGTTGGGTCGTGCAGGAGGCAGCCACTCAATGTGTCCCTTTCATATTGATGTTTCTATCTCTCTGTCTCTTCCTCTGCTTCCCTCCCACTCTATCTGAACAAAAAATGGAAAAATGTCCTCGGGTGAGGATATAAAAAAAAAAAGTATTACTAATGCTCAATACATTTTTGGATAAAGATATTTTTTAAATGATCAAATAAATGTCCTATCTATTCTCTCATTCACAGCCTTCCACTTATTTCTGGACCATAGCATCTAGAACAATACCTGACTCACAGTAAGAGCTCAATAAAAATGTTTTTTTCATTATCCTATACCTGTTTGTTATCACTAAATATCTCCTCCTCACATCCTTCCTTAGCCTAAGATCCAATTTGGAATCAGGTTTATTTACTTATTTAAAATGTTTTTATTATTTTTTTTTAGAGAGGGAGTGATAGAAACATCAATGCAAGAGAGAAACATTGATTGGCTGCCTCCTGCATGCCCCCTACTGGGGATCGAGCCCACAACATAGGCATGCGCCCTGACTGGGAATCCAACAGGGACCTCTCAGTCCACGTAATGATACTCAATCCACTGAGCCACACCAGCTGGGTGGAATCAAGTTTTTAGTAACCTACTAAATGAAACCCAAGTAGGAAATATGGTATGGTAATCCTAAAAGTGCTGGAAATAGCCCTGGCCTGTTTGGCTTAGTAGTTGAGCGTTGGCCTGCAGACCAGAGACTCCTGGGTTCGGTTCCCACTCGGGGCACGTATCACAAAAATAAATAAATAAAAGTGCTGGAATAAGTATAATTTAGACATGTACCTGCCCACAGGCGGAAAATCAGATAATGACTTTCTCAAAATCTCTTACCTTTTTCTTCTCTGGACCACAGGCTGATGCTCTAACCACTGAGCAAACCGGCCAGGGCTCTTACCTTTTTCTTTATCACTAAAAACAAATACCTTGTACAAAAATTAAGTACTTATACATTTACGTAGCATGTTTTTGCCTCCAATGACAAGTGATAAATTTTAGAAAATAATCACATAGTATCAAATGAGGCAGCTAAGATATAAACTGTATATAACACAGTCTAACTCTAAAGTTCCTTGAAAAAAAAAATTTTTTTTATCAAATACCTCATGCCAGGCTCTATTCTAGGTATTTTAGAACTATTATTTCATTTAATCCTTATAACTATCCTACAGAGTAGATACTGTTATTATTCCCATTTTACATATGAGGAAGTTAAAGCACAAATTTATATTGCTTGCCCAAGGTCACACAGTTAATGAGTGGCAGAGGCAGGATTTGTACCCGAGTCAGGTTCCGAGTCCATATTCTTACTCTCTGTTATGCTTTTAAAAAGGTATTTGAGCCCTGGAAGGTGTAGCTCAGAGGTTAGAGTG